GCCGAAACCCGCTGCATGCAGCAAATTTCGTAACCCCCCTTTCCCAATCCCCCCCTTTCGCCCGGCCCGAAATGTTCCAGGCGGGCGAGCCTCCCCAGGGCGCAGCCGCCGCGCCGCGAACATGCCGAGCCCGCCCGTGCTGGACCGCCGCACCTCTCCGAGGGCACCCCTGGGCCTCCCACGAAAGGCGCCCCAGGGAGGCCCGAGTCCGCCGACGCGGTTGGGGTGTGGGAAACGCTGCTCTCGGGGGGAACGAAAGAGGGGGATAGCGAAGGGTCGGGCAGAGAATCGTGGAAAACGCTGTTCTCGGGGGGAACGAAAGGGGGGGATAGCAAAAGGTACAGGGTAAAGGATCAGCTCGCTCACGGCGCCGGGAGGCGCCCATGTATCGAGGGATGGGCCTGGCGGCGGTGCCGAAACCGGCTGCATGCAGCAAATCTCGTAACACTCCTTTCCCTATTCCCCCCTTTCGTTCGGCCTGGTGTTCAGTTTGACTAGTCGGCGTCGTCGTCGGCGTCGTCGTCGTCGTCGGCGTCGTCGTCGTCGTCCTTGTCGTCGTGCTCAGCTGGCCAGCTCGCTCCTGCTCCCGCCTTCCCAGGCGTCACGAGCAATGATTTGGACGCCCGAAATGGGTGCGGAAAAATGGGCACAATGCCCAACAACAAATGTTGCCCCAAACCAACAGCGGCCGCTGTTGCGCAGGCGGCCTTCTGTCTCAAATTGACCCGGGCCGCGGCGGCGCGGACAGCGAGTCCTGTTCAGAATGAACAGGAACCACAGAGATCCGACGTCTCGATTTTTTCGAGACGTGGGCCCCCGACCTCCCGACCACTTCCCTGGGACCGGTTTTTCATCCCGAGTCGTTTTTTGACGGTCCCGAGGCCCGGCGAAGGCCCCGAGAGGCCGAAAACGACGAGAAACCTGTCTCGATTTTTTCGAGACGCCCGATGTCTGGGACTGCTGTTGCGCATCGTACCCATTCTTTCCGTGCCCATCTCGTGCGTGCAGAAGAAGTGAGGTCCAGCCGAGCAACCCGCCCGGGAGAAGCGCTCCGCGCGGGGGCCTCCCGCCGAGCGCTGCCGTGGCCGGCGCGCTCCCGCGCCCGCCCCCCGGGCATCGTGGCGAGCGGCCCATGGCCCGGGCGAGCCCTGGCGGCCTGGGCCCTTCCCAGGGACGGGGCTCCTCATCTCGGGTCGGGCGAAAGGGGGGGATAGCAAAAGGGGGGTTTGAGAATCAGCTCACGGAGCTGATTTTCCCGGCGCCTCCCGGCGCCGGAGGCGACTATGTATCGAGGAATGGGCCCCTCGGTGAGGCCGAAACCAGCTGCAGTCAGCAAATTTCGTAACCCCCCCTTTCCCAATCCCCCCCTTTCGCCCGGCCCGATCATCCCGGGGACAGGTTCTCTGGCAGCCCCGCGACTCTCGACGGCGAGCACAAAGGGGATTATGCAAGGGCTCCCAATGTCGCGCTGCGCGCTGCGCGGAGCGCGAACAACTTCGCGATCTCGCGCCGCCTCCCAGGGGAGAAGAGGAGGAGAAGGAATCGGAGCCGAACCGCGAAGCGCGAATCACTTCGCGCCCTCGAGGGCGCCCTTGTTACAGGGGGACCAGGAGGGGGGAAGGCTTCCTGGAGGAAGGTGGCTTCCTAGAAGGCGCTGGCCTTGCATGTCATCCCGCGCCTCCTGAGAAGCGGCCTCTTACTTCTAAGAAGCCTTTCCCATTCCCCCCCTGTGCGCGCCGCCAAGATTTTCCCACATCGATGCCTTGAGCTGCTCCCTACGGGGCCCCCGAGGCTCTGACCACTTCCCGGGGACGGGGCTCTCGTGCTGGACCGCTGATTCGTGGCTGCCCCGGCGCTCGGGGAGGGCAGGAGCGCACCAGCGACGGGCAAACTCCGCCTTCCTCGTTTCCAGTGCGCTGGAGGTCTGGGCTTTGGACCCGCGAGGGGGTCAGGGAGGTCGAGCCGGCGCCGGGCGAACCTCCAGGCCGCCTGCTGCCACGTCGGCGCCGTGGGCGCTGCGGAGCCACGCCAGCAGCGCCCTCGCGCGCCCCAGCGGCGCCTCCGCGCTTCCCTCGCAGGCCTGGGCCGGGTCGAGCCGCGACACCAGCTCGGATCGGACAAAGAAGCGTCGGATCGCCCACGGATCGCCGCGCACGGCTCTGGCGGGTCCCCGCTGACGCTGGCGAACTCGGACCGAAAAGCGAACCGGAACTGCGGCCCTTCGCCGGCGAATCGGCTCGCATCGGATCGCATCGCAGGCGGCCCTGCCTCCACGCGCCGCCGCTTCGCGCCGCCGCGGCTCGCCGCCATGCGCTGCGGCGGCGCTGGCGCTGCGGGTGCGCCAGCGGCAGCCCCCGACGCGGCCATTCTGCAGGGTGGTGGGAGTCTGCGAGCCGCTCTCGCGAGAGCCCCGGGGCGATGAGCGGAGAGAGGGCGGAGGAGAAGGGGGGAGAAAGGAAGCGGGGAGCGGGAAGGATAATTAAATGATCAAGAACGGTACAGGCTTACACGGTAACCGGACCCATTTGTACGGCTGTGAGGTGGTTGGTCATCGGCGAAGCACTGGAGACTCTGGGGCAACTTGCAGGCAGTCCGTGCTTCCAGAAACCAGTGATCGAGGATGAGGGGAGGGGGTGCGAGGGGCGCGGATAGGAGTGAGGGGGGAGGGAGACGGAAGGAGAAGGAGGTTGGCTGGCGCCCTCCGTGGTGGGGGGACGAGCAGGCGGGCGGAAGTGCGGCGAGGAGGAATGAAAGCCCAGTTGGCCCGGTGGAGCGAGCCCGCGAACCCCGCCCACGCCCGCCCTCGCTCCCGTAAGGCACGCTTTCCTCCTCCTCCTTCTCCTCCTCCTCCTCGTCGTCGTCCTCCTCCTCCTCCTCCTCCTCCTCCTCCTCCTCCCTCCTCCTCCTCCTCCTCCTCCTCCTCCTCCTCCTCCTCCTCCTCCTCCTCCTCCTCCTGGCGCAGCAGCACCCCTCAGTTTCGACCTCGTCCATCGGTCCAGGCCGCCTGTCGTGTTGGCTCGCGCGTGCGCGCCCTTCGTTCGCCAAGCCAGCTAGAAAGAGTAGGAGGAGGAGGAGAAGGAGGAGGAGGAGAAAAAGGAGGAGGAGGAGGATACCTTCAGATAGGGCGCGCGCAAGAACATTCAACAGGCGGTCGAAGTTCCTGCTGCAGGCGGATGGGAGGGAAGGGGGAGGAGCGGGAGCAAGGGGCAAGGGCGCTCTGCAACGATCCCCTGCGACCCAGGCAGCCACCTCCCACAAGGCAAGAATAATAATTGACGCTGGCACAACTCGATTGCATTGGTACGTGCAGGCGCGTGTGCACTAAACAGAGGGAGGGGGAGAAGAGGAGGAAGACGAGGACAGGAAAAGGACGAGGACGCTTCTTTTGTGGCAAAACGGCCACGCGCCCACGCCTTGGCGCGAGCCCCGGCTGGGCTCGCGCTGCATGGCGCGCAGCAGCACGGCTGCGCGCCATTTCGGCACGCTCGCCGATACAAGGACTGGCGCGCGCTATTACCTTGCGAACGCCAGGTGCTCGCGCGCGGTCCCCGCTTCCGATGATCTGGCCAGGGGAGGAGGGAACACGGATCGCGCCTCGGGCAGGAGCGGTGCTCAAGAAAGCGCCTTGCGCGGCGCTGCGGCGAGAGCACCATTTTAGCCCCCTCGAGCGCGGCCGCACTTCCGACGACAGCGGCGAAGACGAGGCGCTGCGCCGCTGCGCCGCAGCCCTGTCACGTTCGCGCGAAGTCTGCGCGGCGCTCGGGCGAAAACAGCGCCCCGCCTCGCCCGCTCGAGCGCGGCCCCGATGCCGCTTTCTGGCGACTCGGCGAGCGGAGAAGATGCGCCGCGCCCAACAACGGAAACGCCCCTCTCGCGCGGAAGCGCCCCAAGCCCTGGACGGTGGCGACAAAAACGCCCGCTCTCGCGCGCGGCTCCGCGCCGAAACAACTGAGCGAGCGAAGACGACGCGCCGCGCCACAACAACGAAAACGCCGCTTTCGCGCGAGAGCGCCCCACGCCCTGGGCGACGGCGACACTTCTCGCCCGCTCGCGCGCCGCTCCGCTCCCGACGACTGGGCGAACATAGAAAGCACATATGAGCCGCGCCCCGTCGCCCAGCGCCGCTTCCAGAGAAAAATCTGGGCGCTGCTCTTTGGCGCGAGTCGTGGGTGACCCCACCCCACCGTGGACGACTGGGTGAGCAGGAAGAGCGCGTGGCGCCCAGGCGGCAACTCATCTCATAGGGAAAATGAGCCGGGCGCTAGGATTACGTCGGGCGTGTCCCCCTACAGGGGGATTTTCGACTAAAAACAAGGAATACCCTAAAAAGGTCAAAAACAAATTCAAACAATATTCAAGAAATAGTCCCCGAATGGGTGAGCAGAAGGAGCGCGTGGCGCCCAGGCGGCAGCTCCTCTCGCAGGGAACATGGGCCGGGCGCCAGGGCAAGGGCGACATCTCGCCCTTCCGCGCGCGCTGTGTGCGCCCCGTCCCATTCCCGTCGCGCATGTTTGAAGGGGCCCTGGGACACACAAATCAATAGACACAAATAAAAAGATTCCCCATATGTTCCCATATGTTTTGGGGGTTCTGCCTTCCCCCCCACTTCCCATATTTTCCCCTATTTTCTGGGGAATCGACGATTAATTGTGTCTGTATTCTTTTCCCCTTATGAATTTTACCACAACCAAGCGTGAGTGCTGAGAGGAGATGCGCGCGCGCTGCAATCTTTGACGGGTGAAATATGGAGGCCCAGATTGGGCGGCGATCGGCTGGCTTGGTAGCAGATTCGGGATGTATTACACATACGCAGAAAAGCAGGCACGTAGTGATGATCCAGGAAGCCATGATACAGACGGGGGGGGAGAGGAGGAAGAGGCGGAGGAGAGGGGGAAAATGGAGGGGGGGGGGGGGAAATGGGGGAAAAGGTGGGGAGCAGGAGCAAGAGAACGGCGGTGGGCGGTGCGGGCGCGGTCGCGATTCGGGCCCCCCCTGGTCTCTTTTCTCTGTTCTTGCGGCCCTGCGACAGCCGCATCTCCTCCTTGAAGGCCGCGGCCTCGGCCTTGTTAGACAGCCTGGCCTCCGGAGCCTGACGGCCGGTGGGGGGGCGGCGGCCAGGGCAGGGTCGCCCTGGCGCTCAGACCATCGATCACTACATGATGCGCCTGTTTTCCACCAGCACCATCCTAAGTTTGAGGGGGAGGGGGTCCTCCTCCCCCTGCTCCTCCTCCCCCTCCTCCTCCTCTCCCTCCTCCTCCTTCTCCTCCTCCTCCTTCTCTTCGTCCTCCTCCTCCTCCTCCTCCTCCTCCTCCTCCTCCTCCTCCTTGCCCCCTCCAACTTATGGCGGTGGTGGTGGTAAACAGGCCCATCACTACATGCAGGGGCGCACGGTACGACATGTCCGTGTCATGACGACCCCCGCGCTGGATTCTGACACCGCGTGCATCATTCGACCTTGAACGACCGGCGCCTTTTTCTAGGGGGCAAACAGACCTACCTCGCTTTTGACCACCCTCGCTTCCAAGAGATACCAAGCGATGCCAAACTACGGCCTGTACTGGTCAGGCCGCTTGACGAGGAGGCGCGTGGTATGACTTGGTTTTGCCTGGAAGCGAAAGCGGGGTAGGTAATTCACGCTCTGATGTTCGGCCGCCAGATCGTTCCATACTAGCCGCTTCTGGGCACGCTGGGCCACCAGCGGCGCCAAGCCTCGAACGCCCACGCCGGAGTCGCCGCCGCGTCGGCACGACACGACCCTGCCGCACGGGAAAGGCGCCCGTGCACCGTACTATTGATGGACCTGTTTCCACTACCACCACCACCATAAGTTGGAGGAGGGAAGGAGGAGTTTTTTTCCTTTCGTCGGCATGGGGAAAAACAAGACTTAGCTGTACCACATCACTTGGTTGGTGAAGCTATGGTGGGACACACAGAACATTCCCGTCGCAGGGCAATGCATCCCTTGCTCGCCTGGAGGGAAGGAGGAGGAGGAGGACAAGGAGGAGGACGAAGAGGAGGTTAAGGAGGAGGAGGTTGGTGGTGGTGGAAAACAGGCCCATCAACCATGTTTGGGCTCCCTTCAGGCCCCACGTCAGCGCGGTACGGTGCATCGTTCTTCGGCCCCGAGGGCCAACAAGACCATGCACCGAACCATTCCGGGGTCGAGGGTCGATGACGCATCTGGGACACGGCCAACCAGGCCCCCAAGAGGCCCCCGAGAAGCCCCAGGAGGTCCCAAGACGAATGAAGCAGGTCCCACGAGGCCCCGACGAAACCAAACACCGCTAACACCAGGCTGCCGACATGCCTCCCAGGGGATCCCCACAGGCAGCCCAAAGGCCTCTGACCTACAATCTATGCGCGGAGGTGGGGTGGGCCGAGGGCCTTGTAATATTTTGAATGCTTTAGGGTATGCTGCGTGACTTGTTAGAGCAATGACTATTGAAAGTGCTTTTACGAACGAACTGGTCAGGGCTCCTCGCTCTGACACCACGTCGTATATTTGCCAGGCATCGCCATCGCCCGTGCCAGCGCCATCCTCGATCAGCGGGTGAACGCCTTCATTCGTGTCCGCATCCGTGGAACGACGGCCAGGGCTGCTCGCCCAAGGTTGGACCCTTCCACCCTCGCCCCGCCTCCTCACGTTCTTCCTCTTGCGTTCGCTCTTTCTCCTCCTCTCCCTTTCGCCTCCTGCTCTCCTCGCCCTCCTCCACCTTACAGGCGGGGCTGATTGGAGAGGACACGCGAGGGAGCACAAGACCCTTCCGAAGGCCACACTGCCACCGGAATCTAGAAGGCATGGGTCGCGAAAGACAGGGCACCAGGGTCTTCCACATGCTCGCATCATCATGTCTACTGGCGGGTGAAGCGAGCGCTGCGCGTGTGCAGAATTACGATAGGAAGGCCTCGCCGTCGCCAACCAGCACGTAGTCTCCTTTGTCCAAGAGGTCGGTGAAGAAGGGCCCAAGGCCTCACCAGCGGTAGCAACGTAGCAACGGCCAAGAAAGGACGGGAGAGAAGCGGAAATGGCAACGATGAAGGGGGGAGAAGGGACTGGCGAGAAAGAAAAGGGACAAGAGGAAAGGGAAAACGATCGCGTGAGGAATAACGGTACGCGTGTTCTGGCCATATTGCGTGTGTTTTTTTATGCGTATGTGAACATCAGTTTACACATATGTATGTGATATATATATATATATCTATATATGTATATATATATATATATATATGTGTATAAACACGCCACCGTGCCGCTGGGCACGAAGTGAGCGTGCCCCCAAGTCTTGGGCCCAATTCTCCAAGCCTCAAGCCTTACTCGGAAGGAGTCTCTAAGGGACCCGGACCAACAAATGCCAAACCTACCTGGGCCTGGCGCGTCTCGTCGGGGGCATCTAGCGTCTCCTCGCGTGACTTCTTCGGACCCAAGAGGGCCCCAAGAGGGCCCCAAGATGGGCCCAAGATGGTAATGCAAATGGAGATTAAGATGCAGATGATGTTGATGACGAGGATGATAATGATACAGCTCATACTGATGCTGATGATAATGATGGCGATGATGATGGTGATGGTGCTGCTGTTCCTGATGAGTATGAGGATGAGGACGTCGATGATGATGATGATGATGATGATGATGATGATGATGAAGATGCGCTGGACGATGGTGATGCTGCTGGTGATGGTGCTGCTGCTGATGATGGTGATGGTTATGGTGATAATGATGCCGAGGATGAAGCTGATGATGACTATGAAAATTACTCCAGTGCGACCCTACCCAGAAGTTAGAGCCCCTAGGAAAGCAGCATTCGTTGTTATGCTATGTTATGCTATGCCATGCTATGCTGCGCTAAGCTATGCTATGCTATGCTGTGCTATGCTATGCTATGCTATGCTATGATATGCTATGCTGCGCTGTGCTGTGCTATGCTATGCTATGCTATGCTATGCCATGCTGCGCTGTGCTATGCTAAGCTATGCTATGCTATGCTAACCTGCGCTATGCTATGATATGCTATGATATGCTATGCTGCGCTATGCCATGCTACGCTATGCTATGCTATGCGGTGCTCTGCTATGCTAAAGCTCAGCGAAGCTAAGATGAAGGTAAGCTAAGTTAAGATAAACCTGAGCTGAGATGAAGCTAAACTAAGCTAAGATGAAATAAGCTAAGCTAAGATGAGATAAGGAACGCTAAGTTAGGGGGACGTAACTGGGGGAACCGTGGGGCGGATGCCGGGGGAACCGCCCGGGGCGATTTCCACTGCCCGGCCCCATTAAGCTCTAACGTAAGAACCCTTCTAGGCAGAGCCTAGGTAGGGAATAATGATGATGATGATGAGGATGAGGATGAGGATGAGGATGATGATGATGATGATGATGATGATGATGATGATGATGATAGTGATTATGATGGTGCTGCTGATCATTATGATGATGATGCGGATGATGGTGATGATGCTGGTGATGAAGATGATGACGATGATGATGATGATGCTGATAATGCTGATGATGCTGATGATGATGCTGGTGATGATGATGATGATGATGATGATGATGATGATGATGATGATGATGATGATGAAGCTGAGGAGGGAGGAGATCCCAAGAGGATGCGGCAAAACGAGAGGGAGAGGAGGAGGCGGAGGAGAAGGAGGCGGAGGAGGAGGAGGAGGAGGAGGGGGAGCAGGAGGAGGAGGAGGAGGGAGAAAAGAGGAGGGAGGAGGGAGGACGAGGCGGACGAGATGGAGAGAGAGGCCCCACGGTCGCCTCGCTCCTCGCGCTCGGCCCAGTCGATCCAGAAGGCGTTGCGGCCCACCTGCCGGGCTGGCGCCCCGAGGACGCTGGCCCAGCGAGCGGGGCGAGCCAGGAGAGGGTGGGGGAGAGGGGGGGGGGAGAGCGGGGGGGGGGCGGCGGGCGGCAGACGGAGGGGCAGAGCGGGCGAGGAGGGGCAGAGGGTGAGGAGGTCCTCCTCCTCCTCCTCCTCCTCCTCCTCCTCGTCCTCTTCCTCCCCGTCCTCCTCCTTCGCCGTTTCTTCTTAGTGTTAAGCTTCTTACGATGGTGATTACTACTCCTCTTCGTCTGCGTCTTCTCATTGGTCTTCTTACTCGCCCTTCCCCTCTCTCTGTCTGTCTCTCTGTCTGTCTCTCTCTCTCTCTCTCTGTCCCTCCCTCCCTCTCTCGCTCTCTCTCTCTCTCTCCTTCTTCTCTCTATGTCTGTAAGTCGATGTATAAATTTGTGTTTACATCTATATCGGAGGTGAGGGGGGGAGATCGAAGTGGAACGGAGAGCCCCCCTACTGGGAAATGGGTTTCCGTTTCGTGTTCGTGCGTGCCGTGCGTGCGGGCGCGGCGAAGCTGCGTGGGCGGGCGAGAAGAAAGTCTCCTCCGGCTGAGGCGCGGCCGGACCAAATGTATCCTGACCGGGGGCCGGTGGAGCGCGGTGTCCCGCCGGTGTCCCGCCTCTGGCTGAGGCGCGGCCGGACCAAATGTTTCCTGACCGGGCGCCGGTGGCGCGCGGTGTCCCGCCGGTGTCCCGTCGGTGCCCCGATGATGATGATGATGATGATGATGATGATGATGATGATGATGATGATGATGATCATGATCATGATGATGATGATAACGATGCTGATGATGATGATGATGATGATGATGATGATGATGATGATGTCGATGATGTTGGTGATGATAATGATGATGGTGATAGTGGTGATGATGGTGTCCCGATGATGATGGTGCTGACGATGTTGATGATGATGATGGTGATGGTCGTGATGATGGTGGTGCCCCGATGATGATGATGAGGTTGATGATGATGATGCTGCTGATGATGGTGTCCCGATGATGATGATGGTGATGTTGATGACCCTTATGATGTTGAAGACGATGCGATGACGATGAGATGATGATGAAGATGATGGTGTCCCGATGATGATGATGATGATGATGAGGTTGATAATGATGCTGTTGATGATGCTGGTGATGATGATGGTGTCCCGATGATGATGCTGATGATGTTGATGATGATGATGATGACGATGATGGTGTCCCGATGATGATGATGTTGATGATAAGGATGCTGATGAGGTGATGATGATGAGTTTGATGATGGTGGCCCGATGATGGTGATGATGATGATGCTGATGTTGATGAGGATGATGGTGTCCCGATGATGATGATGATGGCGATGATGATGATGGTGACGATACTGATGGTGTTCCGATGATGCTGATGATTATGTTGATGGTGATGATGCTGCTGATGATGACGGTGGTGTTCCGATGATGATGCTGGTGTCCCAGTGATGATGATGTTGATGATGATGATGGGAAGGATGATGGTGTCCCGATGATGATGAGGATGGTGATGATGATGATGAAGATGATGGTGATGATGTGTTGATGATGATAGTGGTGTCCCAATGATGATGCTGATGACGTTGATGACGATGATGCTGATGATGATGACGTTCATTGTGAGATCGATTGTGAGATCGATAGTGAGATCGATCGTGAGACCGAATGTGAGATCGATTGTGAGATCGATCGTAAGATCGATCGTGAGATCGATTGTGAGATCCATAACCAGATCGATTGTGAGATCGATCGAATGAAATAGATCGAGTGAGATCGATCGAGCGAGACCGATCGTGAAATCTATAGCGAGATCGATAGTGCGACCGATCGAGTGAGACGTTGGTTCCTCCCCCCCCCCGAACCTCCTTATCACCCGAAGGGAGGTCGTGTAGGTACTACATATACCAGGGGTAGGGGGTAAGATCGAAGTGGGACGGAGAGCCCCCCACTGGGAAATCGGTGTCGGTTTCGGGTTCGTGTAGCGCGTGCGGGTGAGGCGAAGCTGCGTGGGCGGGCGAGAGGGGACTCCGCTGTGACTAGTGCGGGCCAAAAGCCGTTGACCGTCCCTCTTCCCTCCCCAGTGGGCTGGCGGAGGCCGATTTGTCCCGCCGTGGTGTCCCGTCGCTGTCCGCCTCTCCCACGCGGTGGGCGGGTGGTGGCCGGGCTGTCCCGCCGTGGTGTCCCGTCGGTGTCTCGTTGGTGCTCCGTGGCTGTCCCGTCGCTGTCCCGTCGCTGACCCGTCGGCGTCCCGTCGGTGTCTCGTTGGTGTCCCGTCGGTGTCCCGTCGGTGTCCCGTCGGTGTCCCGTCGCTGACCCGTCGGCGTCCCGTCGGTGTCCCGTCGGTGTCTCGTCGGTGTCCCCTCGGTGTCCCGTCGGTGTCCCGCCGGTGTCCCGTCGGTGTCCCGTCGGTGTCCCGTTGGTGTCCCGTCGGTGTCTCGTCGGCGTCCCGTGGTGAGATCGATCAAGTGGGATCGATAGTGGGATCACATCACGGCGCAGCATCGTCACCACGCGCCGTCGCCAACTAGAGGGCGCATCACCAGCATCGTCATCATCACTGCCGTCGTAGTTGTGGTCAGTTTGCTCTTTTCCCCCACCCGCCCACCTCCTTCTTACCCGAAGGGTGGTCGTAAAGGCCGACATAAACGTATTACACATCGCTTTCTCGCTCTCGTTCCCTCTCTCTCTCTCTCTCTTTGTTTCTCTCTCTGCTTCTCTCTCTCGTTCTCTCTCTCTCTCTTCCACTCTCCTCTCCTCCTCCTCTTCCTCCTCATCCTCGTCGCCTTCCTCCTCCTCCTCCTCCTCCTCCTCCTCCTCCTCCTTCTCCTGCTCGTCCACCTGTGCCCTCTCCAGCCCTGCTTAGAGAGGCGGGCAGGGGGCAGGGGGCGGGGAGGCAGGGGCGGGGCGGAGGGCAAGCCGGGTGCGCTCGCGCCACGTCGGGCAGCGTGACCCTCCCAGCTGGCCTTCGTCATCGCGATGACCCCATCGCGTGAGGCGCAGTCAGGGCAGTGTGGGGGCAGGCTTTGTACCTTGGAGGAGCGGAGGAGGAGGAGGAGGAGGAGGAGGAAGAGGAGGAGGAGCGCCAGTACCTCATTTTTTAAAAGAGGAGGAGGAGGAGGAGGAGGAGGAGGAGGAGGAGGAGGAGGAGGAGGAGGAGGTGGCGGATGAGCAAGAGGGTGCACAGGAGGAAGGGCACGGTGGCTGAGGCGGAGGGGCAACAGCAGCAGCAGGAGCAGACTGACCAGGAGGAACGAAGGAACACCGAGAAGGGAACCGGAGGGGAACGGCAACGAAGAAGAGCGACTCGGATCCAGAAGAGTGTGGCCCGCGATGCAGCGAGGGCCCATATCTGATCGACGGGGTCAGACCGCCCATCCTGAACGACCAACGCTGCAGCGGAAGCACAGCGCTTAGGATCGACAGCGGTGTGACTGAAGAACACGCAGGGAAATCAACACGTGCAGGCTATGTTGTGCAAGCAATCAATGCAGGTGTACACAGTATTGTGCAAGCTGCGCCGCGCAACCTAGAAGGCGCAGCGTGTGAGCTGCAGGCGATGTGGCATAGCGTGTGCGGCGCAGCCGCTGTGGCGCAAGCTGTGCGGTGCAAGCAGCGTGGTGCACGCTGTGCGGTGCACGCTGTGTGGTGCACGCTGCGCGGCAGGTGTCCTGCGACCCAGGCGGCCGCACAGCGCCCACGAGGCGCCCACGAGGCGCCCAGCGGGCGGGCCTCTCGGGCGAGACCTCCGCCCGCCCCCCCCGGCGCACGAGGCGCCCCACGGGCGGGCGCCAGGCCAGACCTCGGCGCGTCCTCCCCGGCCCACGAGGCGCCCACGAGGCGCCCACGAGGCGCCGGGGCGCACATCAGGTGGTCAGCAGCCGGAAAGCCGACACGCCCAGCCGAGTGCTGCAAGCGAGCGGCGTGGGAGCCCCTGCGTGCAAGGCACCGTTCGGGGAGCTGCTGGGAGCACGTGTGGAGGGGAGCCGTCTGGGGCGGGGCAGAAGGCAGGGCCAGTGGAGAGAGGAGAGGAGGGCAGTAGCCACCTCCAAGCTGTAGAGAGGGAGGGGAGGGAGGGGAGGGGGCGGGAAGGTACAGTATTTAGGAGGGGGAGGGAGGAGAAAGCGCAAGGACGGGGCGTGTAGGAGGGGGGGGTCGGGGGGGACGGGCTGGGGAGGGGTGAGCGAGGAGGATGGGGGGGACGACGGGCAGGAGCGGAGTGAAGCGTACGAACTACTGCAGGACCAGGAGCGAGATCAAGAGCGTGACCACTGTCGCCATCCCAAGTCGAGCACGAGACGCTGAGTCCAAAGAGTGCCCCCTGTTCGACGAAGTACGGTTCCGCCTTCAGCGAAAACATAATATTCCTCATACCTTTTGGACTTCTCAGCCGACGTGTACGTCGACACCTGGATGGATCACAAGTGGCGGAGGTCGCACCGTCTACAGGAGGGCCACGATACAGACTGCCTGCTGCAAGCTCGGTGTCCACATCGTGTCTGAGGCTTTGGAGGGCAAGGTCGCTGCCTCACAAAATCGCTGATGCAAGTAAAGAGGAGGGCACTCCAGAGCACGGGTACCTCCTGCACGACACACAGCAGGAACAGGAGCGCGAGGAGAAACAGACTGAGGACGGGGATTACGATCAATCGGGTGAGGAAGGCGCGGACAGCCAGGATGACCGCGAGGACCTGCGCGAGACATCGAAACTAGGCAAGAACCTCGCCGACTGCCAACCACTGGGGCAGTAGGAGCCCCCCCCCATTTCGAGCTCGCGCTGGGCTCTATGGCCAGCACTTGCCATGGAAAGGCTTCGCGCTGCCAGACACCGCCCCTCCCTCTCCTCATCCACCTTCTTGTTTCCTCATCCTCTTCTTCCTCCTCCTCCTCCTCCTCCTCCTCCTCACTCATGCCCTTAATTTTCGCCTTCTCCCCCTCCCCCCTCCCGGTGCCTTCCTCCCTTGCGGGGTGCCGCGTGGCCGCCTCCTGGAGCCCGACAGCGGCAAGAGGAGGGAGCCACGAGGGGGAGGAGACCGGAAGAGGACGAGTGGGAGGAATTCCGTGGCTGCTGCCGACGGAGAAGGGCAGAGAGGCCACCCTCACAATCCCACCAGCCCTTCTGGGCGTGAGGGGTTTAGATGGTTTCCTCTTCCAGCCCCCTCTTCCCGTTCGGGGAGACCCTGATTGATCACTGTTCCCTATTAGTATAAGTACACCCCCTCCCCCAGGCGACCTGCAACCAACCAGGAACAAGGAGGACCCCAGAAGGCCCCCCCCCCCAACCATCCTTGTCAACAAAAACAGGACGACACACACACACACACACTCTGCCTCCAAATTCGGAGCATGCGAAACCAGCCCAATGCGGCCCCCCCACCTTCCCTGTCAAAACACATACAAAGCACTCTTTGGGACAACTTCTGGAGTCATATTCGTGAGGCCCGCGAACACTTTGTATTGTTTGTTGGCAGGGGCTGCGTGTGTGTGTGTGCATACTGCCTGCTGCCCGCAGGGCACTCATCCCTGACAAACAATACAAAGTGCACCTCGCGGCTAAATCTGGATCGTGCGCGGCCACCCCGCGATCACTGTCATGGCCTGCTGTGGCGTTGGTTTTCGATAAGGATGGCGGGGGCTGGCATATTTTCCAATATGTCCGAAGGCGCACCTGACACACTCTGCACGTGCCCCGAACGTGGCGCACCTGGCGCGGCTAGAGTATGTGGCACACCTGGCGCACGCGGAGGCACGTGGCGCATCTGGCGCACCAGGCGTGCCTGGCACGCTCGGGCCCCAAGGGCGCCTGGCGCGCGCGGCGCGCCTGGCACGCGTGGCGCACCTCGCCACAGCGTCGCGAGCCGGCGAGCATGGGCTCGGTTTTGGTTCCCCAGTAGCTGCCCATGCAAAAACGACCGCTGAGCATGCTGAGGCTCGGGTCTTACTCATGTGCTGGGAGGGCGGTGGGAGTGAGCAAGACGGCGTGCTATCTAGGAGAGTGCCTTGATCACTGTTCCCTATTAATAAACACCCCCTCTCCCAGGCGACTGGGGGCCAACCAGGGTCCATGCCAACTCCCCCCCCGCCATCCCTTGTAAAAACAATACGAAACACACTCTGCCTCCAAATTCGGAACATGCGCAGCCAACCCGATGCGCCCCCCCCCCCCCCACCACCACCATCGTCAACAAAAAACAGTACAGAGTACACTTGGCGGCGGCGGCGGCGGCTGCGGCGGCGGCGGCGGCGGCGGCGCGGCGGCGGCGGCGGGAAGCGGCGGCGGCGGCGGCGGAGGCGGCGGCGGCGGCGGCGGCGGATTGGCCCCCAGTAGCTGCCCATCCAAAGACGACTGCTGAATATGCTGAGGCTCGGGCCAGACTCGGGTGCTACGTATGTGTTGGGAGGGCGGGTGGGAGTGAGCGGGACGGCTTGCGGGCGGGGAGGGGGTCTTGACCCCTCCCCCTACCCCCTGCCCCTGGACGGAGGAGAAAGAACAGACGAGGACGAATGGGAGGGCTGGAGCCGATGTGTAACGGGCAGAGGGGCCACCCTCCTAATAAGCACCCCAGCAAGCAAAACCTTCTGCCAAACGCACCGAAGGAACACATCGTGAAGGGCAAAGACCCCTTCGCTAACGCTAATGACTCTAAGGACTGGCCAGTAAACGGCGGCAGCAATGGGGTCAAGGTGTTTTTTCCTCCACTGACGATTTCCCAGGAACCAAGGAGGCTTTGAACGTGGTCATCTTTTGACCCCCCCCCTCCGGGCTCGAATTTTAACTCCCGCTGCCGCCTGGTGGTCCCGGGGTGCGCATCGACTCCCGAAGCGATGGATAGGTATAATTTCCGGCCTCGGAGGAGGGGGCAGGGGGAGAACGGAGAAGCGAGGCATGAAAGGGAGGACGAGAGGGAGGATATCACTCTTTGGCTCGAGAGAAGGACGCGGCAGGAGAGTGAGGAGGACGACGAGGAGCGAGAGGAGGACAGGGAGGAGAGAGAGGGTGAGGTTAGGCCACAGAGGCGCAGGAGGGCGTCCACCCGACGCTCTCCGCAGAACGAGAAGCGGAGTGGACGCGGTTGCCGAGTCCCTGGCGGGAGGACGGAAGCGACGAGCGAGCGAGGAAGCCGTGAAGAGCAACCGCGCACACAACTGGACTGCACAACCACGGAGGAAATACAATAGTATGGAGAGGTAACGGAAGGAGACGACGGAAGAGTCGGGGGACGACAGGGGACGGGGGGACCGCGGAGCAGGGGGAGGACGAGGCCGCAGGTGCAGGAGGAGGGCAGCACAGTCACAAATGGGGAGCGACGGAGCGGGAGGAGGGCGTTGGGGGGGCGCGGTGCTGCGGGGCCTTGTCCTTGTACTTTCGTAGGTACTCGTGGGCCAGATCCCTCCCGGGCACTCGCTGCTCCCTCCCGGTCCAAGCCCTCACGTGACATCCTCGCGTCGTGTGACAAAAATAACGGCTGGAAATCATTTACCGCTTTCGGCCTCCATGGGGCCCTTGCCAGGCCCAAGGACCGTCAAAAACGACTCAATATTAGAAGCGGGCCCCCAGCCAGGGGGCCCAGACCTCTGGGGGGGCACCCTGTGAAATGAGTACGACGTCGGATGTCTGGGTCGCTGTGCTTTCTTCGCCATCCTCTCTGTACGTGTCCATCTCTCTCTCTCTCTCTCTCCATCGCCGGACAGTGCCCAACACCGGTTGAGCTTAATGAGAAAACGAAGTCTCGCAGACTAATCTCAATCGTCTACAATCCTCTCCTCCTTACCTCCTCCTGCTGATCATCATCCTCTCCCTCCCTCCTCCCCCTCCAACCCGCGCTCTTCTCCTCCTTTTCCTCATCCCCGTTTACATATCCTGTCTGCTACCTTACCTCCCCAAACCCCGATACAACAATTACACGCTAGCATTTCCAATGTGCTACCTTGCCTCCTACCACCACTGTACCAGATGCCGTCTCGGACATTCTTCATCCCCTCGTGACTCCCTCGTCAAACTCCCCCATCCCTTCCCCCCTCCCCCCCTCGCCCATCTACCTCCAATCCTGATCCCTCATATCGTCTTGAGACGCTGGGCATATGCTGCCAGACCAGGCGAGTGTCAATGGCGTGCTTTCTGCGGTCCCCTGGGCGCGGCAACTATGAAGAATTCGGGCAGTGGCCGTGCACGTGGGTTTGGCATACTGGCGGTCGATGCCAGTGTCGCGACATTGTCAAATTAGATGTGAAATAATGTAGTATTCAAGCTGTACTGCGGCAATGATGTGTTCACGATCATCACGGGCATTATCAAGAACGACCTTGGAATAATGCGCTGGCAACCGGGCATGCCGTGGCGCAAGGGCGGCCACTCCATGTCTGCTGACTGAGGTGCGCGGTCTGGCGAATGCTTGCGCGCAGTGGATGGCCTGCACACACGAGCTGGTCCCCACTGCACATGGCTCGAAAACGTGCAGAGTCAGAGTCGGTTCCACAGACGACCACGTCTTCGGAATAATCGACGGCTAACCTGGAAGTGCAATTCACTGGCACCGGTATCTCTGAACATTACCACTTTGCAATGTGCAGACGTCGGGCATTCACGTGCACACCTGCTGCCACACACTGTGAGTCTGCGTCAGTCGGCACACGCCTGCCCTTCTCGTCAAGCTCAATTCACGGATGCTGCCAATCCACGCCGCCATCGTCAACCCTTAACCGGCTCTGTGAAACAAGTGTCCAGGGAATCATCTCGTGCGTGCGTGCGCTACGCACGACTTCACCTGCTCGCGGCGCGCAAGTTGCAACCTCCGCACCAAGGTGTTCCGCCAGCCTTGCTCAGAGGAGGAGGAGGAGGAGATGGAGGAGGAGGAGGAGGAGGAGGAGGAGGAGAAGGAGGAGGAGCAGGAGGAGGAGGAGGAGGAGGAGGAGGAGGAGGAGGAGGAGCTGCTTTCCCTGCCCAGGTCCTGGTTCGACTACTTGCCCTCCGCGCAGCCTCCTACCCGGAGCCCGTGGCCACCGTTCCACCTCCCCCCCGCGGCCGCTCCGCGTGCCCCTGGCCATCGCTTGGTGAGCCCATTCGCCACTCCGCGACCAGCTCCGGCTCCGACCGTGCCATGTGCTCGCAGCTGCCACGACGAAGTCTCGGTGATGGCAGACGCTCGCTGACACGACATATTACCGATCCTGCACGGCTTCCATGTTCATGCGCCGATGGGCCATCCTCGTCCTCATTCCGGGGTGAGCAAGAATCGAAACCGAATCGGGCCCAGTGTCTCGGCCCAGGGCATAAGAAATGCCACCTGGCCGACTTTGCGTGCACGCACGTGTCCGTGCTGCTCGTCCTGCCTCCCTCTTGATCCTCTCTTCTCCTTCTTTCTCCACTCCCCATCCTCCCCTCCCCACCCCTCCTCCTCCTCCTCCTCCTCCTCCTCCTCCTCCTCCTCCTCCTCCTCGTCCGTACATGCGCCGTGGACAGCAGCGACCCCTGCGCGCGGGCCCACACGACGCGCACCTGCGACAGCCCCACACACGACTCCTCCTCTCGACGACCCAATACCCGTCCCGACTCCCCACCCGATGCCGTGCCCAGCGCCCAGCCCGACGCCCCACCCCGCTCTGCACCCGACGCCTCGCCACACGGCCTCCCCAGGCCCGACTCCCTATACTGCACCTGCCTCGGCTGCGCGGTCACCCGCGCGGACGGCTGGACGGCCCACAAGGACGCCCCTCCGCTCCACCCCGAGAATGCCCCTACGGACGACCCGAGGCCTCCCCCCACAACGCTAACGACCACGACGACCACGACGACGACGACGACGACGACGACGACGACGACGACGACGACGACGACGACGACGACGACGACGACGACGACGACGACGACCCGACGCCCCTCCCCACGACGCCGCACCTCCCCACCAGGACGCCCCTGCCCACGAACACCCACGACGGCTCACCACCACGACCCAACGTCCTGCCCTACTCCCAGCCCCATGCCCCGCCCCAGTTCCCACCCGACGCCACGCCCGAGGACCACCCCACGCCCGACGCCCTAGCCGCTGCCCCACACGACTCACCACCCGCCAACTCGACGGACCCGACGCTCGATCCCTGCCCCGCGATGCCCGAACCCCCAGATGCCCGACCCCACGCCCCCAAAGTGGATGACATCCACCCTGTGGGACATCGAGCCCCGCTGGACCCATCGCGTCCTCGCCATCCCAAGCACCGCCGCTAGCACTCACATCAACGACTTCGCTGGCACCAGCGGCATCGAAAACCACATCCAGCGTCTCGACGACGAGCGCCGACGGGTCGATATGGCCCCGCAGCAACAGCTCCAGAATGCTGGCGCGATGGAGGCGGAACTGCTGAACTCCAGGCGCTGGACCACCTAGCGGCCGACCTGACGCAAACGACCCCACAGCTTACGGCCCACCCGAGCCCCTCCTTCCCACGCCCCTCCTGACCCCCTCCCCACGACGGGTGCGCTCCACCGGCGCCCTGCCCGGCGCCAACACCCCCGACGACGACGAGCCTCCCGACAGCAGGCCTGCTCGGCGCGTGCGCTTCGCCGACGCGCCGTAGACTGCCGCCGCCACCCACCCACGCAGGGACGGATGGCTACCGAGGGCAGGGAACAGCTGCACCCTGCAGCGAAAATCCTTCCTCCCTCCTCCCTCCGCCCTCCTCACTCCTCCCTCCTCCCTCCTGGCTCCTCCTCCTGCTTCTTTTCCTACTCCTCCTCCTCCTCCCCTTGGATCCGACGGCGCGAACAAACTGAACCATCGCTAAAGATCCCGACTTAAGCCCTAGACCTCATCTGTCTGCGCCGTGATTCGAGCCGCCTCTCCTCCATCCTCCTCCTCCCCCTCCTCCCCCTCCTCCTCCTCCTCCCTCCTCCTCCTCCTCCTCCTCCTCCTCCTCCTCCTCCTCCCTCCTTCTCCTCCTCCTCCTCTCCTCCTCCTCCTCCTCCTCCTGCCTCCTCCTCCTCCTCCTCCTCCTTGCCTCCTCCTCCTTCTCCTCCTCCTCTCCTCCTCTTCCTCCTCCTCCTCCTTCTCCTCCTCCTCCCCCTCCATGCCTCCTCCTCCTCCTTGCCTCCTTCTCCTTCTCCTCCTTCTCCTCCTCTTCCTCTTCCTCTTCCTCCTCTTCTCTCCTCCTCCTCCGCCTCCTCCCTCCTCCCTCCTCCTCCTCCTCCTCCTCCTCCTCCTTGCCTCCTCCTCTCCTCCTTGCCTCCTCCTCCTTCTCCTCCTCCTCCTCCTCTTCCTCCTCCTCCTCTCCTCCTCCTCCCCCTCCCATGCCTCCTCCTCCTCCTTGCCTCCTTCTCCTTCTCCTCCTTCTCCTCCTCTTCCTCTTCATCTTCCTCCTCCTCTCCTCCTCCTCCTCCTCCGCCTCCACATCCCCCTTTTCCTATTTCATATCCCCTCCTCCTCCTCCTCCTTCTCCTCCTCCTCCTTCTCCTCCTCCCTCCTCCTCCACCTCGTCCTCATCCCCATCCTCCTCCCCCTCCTCCTCCTCCTCCCTCCTCCTCCTCCTCCTTCTCCTCCTCCTGCTGCTCCTCCTCCTCTTCCTCCTCCTCCTCCTCCTCCTCCTCCTCCTCTTGTTCATCCTTCTACTCTTCCCCCTCCCCCCCTTGGATCCGACGGCGCGAACAAACTGAACCATCGCTAAAGATCACGACTGAAGCCCTAGACCTCATCTGTCTGCGCCGTGATTCGAGCCGCCTCTCCTCCATCCTCCTCCTCCCCCTCCTCCCCCTCCTCCTCCTCCTCCTCTCCACCTCCTCATCCCTCCTCCCTCCTCCCTCCTGGCTCCTCCTCCTGCTTCTTTTCCTACTCATCCACCTCCTCCCCTTGGATCCGACGGCGCGAACAAACTGAACCATCGCTAAAGATCACGACTGAAACCCTCGACCACATCTGTCTGCGCCGCTGTTTCGAGCCGCCTCTCCTCCATCCTCCTCCTCCTTCTCCTCCTCATCCTCCTCCTCTTCCTCCTCAGCCTCCTCCATGCCTTCTCCTTATACAGAACTCCTCGCTGTCGCACCCCGAGGTCAGGTTTTAGGGCGGGCGGGGCATTTCGCCTGAGGCATTTCACCACTAATGACTGTGAAGCTTGAAAAGTGACAACAGTCTGACAGATGGAGGGCGGGCCGCTTTCAAAAGGTGGTTCTGGCCTTAGCGCCGCGCGCACTCGCTAAAAACATTGCACTAGTTTTGCGGATCGAGGGCGGTTCCTTTTCAAAACGTGGCTCTCGCCTCAGCGCCGCGCACATTCGTTTAAACATGTTTTAGAGCTTCACGGGTTGACGGCGGGTCGTTTTCAAAATGTGGCGCTCGCCTTAGCACCGCGCGCATTCGTTGTTTTTGTTAAAAGAAAGGTGTAATAATTTCACGGATTGAAGGCGGGTCGTTTTGAACATGTGGTTCTCGTCTTTGCGCCGCGCGCATTCGTTTTAAACAGTTGCAAAAGCTTCACGGATTGAGGGCGGTTCCTTTTCAAAATGCGGCTCTCGCCTTAGAAACGCGCGCAGTCGTTTAAACATATTGCGAGAATCCCACGTATTCCCATGATCAGCGTACCAGAAACGGTGTTTGGAAGAATTCAAGATCATGCGGGCGCAACAGTTGTTGATTCGCTGTGTTGAAGTCCCACAAATAGCCTTCTGGCACGATTCTGGATCCTCAATTCGCGGAGAGCAATGCTTTGGCACGCTTCAGGATCTTCAAACTGTTGTCTTCCAGCGACGCAATTCCCTCAATGGAAATGAACCGATGTAGGGGCCAATGAAGGGGGAGCGTGGAACGAGGGTTAATCCCAACATCGTTGATGACTCTTGGGTTTCCACTGGTCCCTCCTCGTCCTCCTCCTCCTCCTCCTCCTCCTCCTCCTCCTCACCCTTTCCTCATTTCCTCCTCCTCCTCCTCTTCCTCCTCCTCCTCCTCCTCCTCCTCCTCCTCCTCCTCCTCCCCCTCCTCCTCCCCCCCTCCTCCTCCCCTCCCGCCCCCTCCCCATCCCCCTCTCGGGCCCCGAGGTGACCACGCCCTCCACGCGCGAGAGGTCGAGGCCTCGGCGCCCCCCGCTCGGCGCTGCCGCCGCCGGCTTTCCGGCCCCCGCGCCGGGCCGATCGGGCCGGCGGAAGGGAGCGGAAAGGGGGAGGGAGGAGCAGCAGGGAGGGAGGGGGAGGGAGGGGGAGGGAGGGGGAGGGAGGGGGAGGGAGGAGCAGCAGGGAGGGAGGGGGAGGGAGGGGGAGGGGGAGGGAGGAGCAGCAGGGGCTCTGTGGCAACCCATGGGGGCCCTCCATCTGTTCCCGATGGCCCTTGCGAGACGACGCTGATCGGCGCCAGATCGACGCTGCCTGATCGAATACCAAAATCTAATCGACGCTAGTGCGCTCTGAAGACGGAGTCGCGAGGGCATACAAGACTCAAGTGAAAAAAAGGTACCGAACAAGTGGCAGGAAGAGGGCACGGCCATGAGATCCTGGCGCCCCAACTTTGTCGAGCCGGACTTCTTCGCCCAACTTCGGGACCCAAGGCCCTCGCAGGTCGACGCGGCTTGAAAAAACGATGCAGAAAATATGGTCTAGGGCCCCGGCCGCGATTTTGAACGATGGTTCAATTTTTGTCGCGCCGTCGGATCTCAAGGGAGGGGGATGAGGAGGAGGTAGGACGGGGCGGAGGTACGTAGGAGGAGGAGGAGGAGGAGGAGGAGGAGGAGGAGGAGGAGGAGGAGGAGGGGGAGGAGGAGGAGGGGGAGGAGGAGGAGGAGGAGGAGGCGGAGGAGAAAGAGGAGGAGGTGGGAGAGGCGGAGGAGGAGGAGGACGAGGAGGAGGAGGAGGAGGAGGAGGAGGAGGAGGATAGCGTGCCGAGGCGCACGGTCTTGCCTCCCACTGGCGCCAGCCGCGCGCCCCCGTGCACGGCCTCGCACGGCCACCGCGCCTAGCCCCTGCTCACAGGGGCGGGCGCACCAGGTACGTGTACTTGATGATGAACGTGCACGACAGCTCCAGCACGGGGAAGAGGAGCACGCTGAACCCGAGGCGGGCAGCGCATCGTCCGCGATGCACGCAGCGCCGCCCGCGCCGCAGAGCGCAGGGTCTCCGCGTCGACGCTGTTCTCCAGTCGGAGCATGTGTTAGGAGGAGGAGGAGGAGGATTTTCTTCCCCCGCGGGAGCACCACCACCTCTTCTTTCCTCGCGTTGGAGGTCTTGAAAGACCGACTGTCATGGCGCTACAGAGGGTCATCAAGAAAAATTGCACTCGCCAATACAAAGATGAGACGCCCAAGAGTAGGTCACGGAATACCCCTGGGGGGGCGTGTCACGGAATACCCCTGGGGCGTGCCACGGAATACCCCTGGGGTGTGTCAGACGCCCCTCCATCGTCGTGCGAAGGCAGCGGTAGAGACTGTTCGCCCTCCACGCGGCGAAGGGCCTCCGCCACACTCTGCAGAACATCCACAGGCCTACTAGCACTTGAAGGGGCTGAAACAACATCCGCAAAAAAGGTTCGAGCATCCTCTTCCTCCATATCAAAATCCAGATCGCGCTGGTCCCCTGGCTCGACCTGGCCCCCCGGCGCCATTTTAAGGGCACGTCGTACCTGAGCTGGTTGATTTCTGACATCCAGAGGCGGGTCCAGCTCAGTAGAGTGTCCTGGCACAGCGAGCAAGATAGGAGGAGGCTCAGCAGTAGGAGGGTCAGCTGGTGCACCTACGGCATCATCAGACTCCTCAACAAAAGTGTTGAAACATGGAATGTAGAAGTTTGTCTCAACAGTGACACCGAGCTTCGATCGAGAATAGTGTGGGTGGCGGCCTTTGGCGAGAGCGTTCCACCCATACTTGGCAGCACGAGTGGGCGGGACACGGCACTCCTCGCCAAGACCTCTGACGGACGCACCCGTGGAGTGGCATTTGCAGCGCGTGCAAATGAACAAGACCGATCCATCAGAACAATCGAAAGCCACAGTGTGATGACCCAGGGCGTCCTGACGCGAAGCGTGCAATTTCGAATCATTCGGGCAACGTCCAGCAGCCGGCTTAGCCGAGGATCGCTGACCACGAAGACAGACTGAGCACCGCCAAGCTCCCCGCCACTGCTCCCAAGGATGGCCTGGGGCAGTGGGGCGGAGGAGGAGGAGGAGGAGGAGGAGGAGGAGGAGGAGGAGGAGGAGGAGAAGGACA